CCTGGGAAGGTAGCACCATTGGTCTTAGCTAAAACTGGGTCTGAAATTTAGTCACAGGAAGTAGTTTTTCTTTCATTTTAAATCTAGACCCTAGTTCCTTAGCAGACTCCCACTGACTTCCCTACTCCCTCCTTGCCTGGCACTTTTCTTGAATCTCCACGCCAGCCTCCTGAGGTGGACTTGGAAAGGAGAGGACCCTGGTCTCCATTCCATCCTCCTACCTGTCATGGCCCAGTGTCTGGCAGAGGTGGGCTGGGTTGCTCAGGCCATCCTACTCCCTGCTCGGGGCCTGGCCTGGTCTGAGCTGGTCTGAGCAGGACTCAGTGGGAACCTTGTCCTAGCCTGTCCTCTCTCCCTGTTCCACCCCCTGTGAAGCTGTCCCCCAAAGTAGCTGTTTGCAAGTTTGTTGCTACCTAATCAGCCACGGGAAGAATCTCTTCCTGAGATGCTGTGGCACTGGGTGGGATGGGATGTCGACAACTAGTGGAGGCACCCCAGGGAACTGGAGGTGGGGGTGGACGGGTGTGGGATGCAAGGGGAAGCCTTGAGCAGGCAGTCCCTTATGGCCACAGTTTACAAACCCAGTATCATGTCTGTTTGTGTGTCTCTCAAGGTGAGAGTGATTTTTATACCAAAGAGGAAAATTTTTTTTCATATTTGGTTTGTCTATATTATATAAATATATATATATACAATTATATATATATTATTTTTTTGGTTCTCTCTCGGTTTTTAGGGAGGGAGGAAAGTACCAAGTTGCATTGAGCTGTAATTAAGGAACATTATGTATAATTTATGACACATTTCTATACTTGCAAAAATTATATCATTTTATGAATATAAGAGAAAAAATACCTTTTTATAAAATTCAAATTTCTGAGAAGTGTGTAATTGGTCTCTTTTCTGGTGTTTCAGTGAGACTGGTGGTTAGAAAGTCAAGACAGTCTGCGGGGATTCGGGGTAGACCTGGGCAAGGTGGGGAGATGGGAGCCCTGGGTGCGCCCCTCCCAGAGCCGGGTTCAGCCAAAGTGGGATGCGGGGCAAGGGCGGTGCGGGAAGGCAGAGCAGCAGCACCTGCATCCCCATGGCTGGATGCTTAGGACATAGACCTCATTCCCCCTCGTTCAGCTGTCCCCTCCAGGCTGTCTGTGCCTCCAACCTCAGCTTCACATCAAAGAGCTATTAAGTCTTATCTGGATTGTAGCAATTGTAGATTAGGTGGGTCAGCTGTGTGCCTCCTCTGGGGAGGGAGTGGGATGAGGCCCAGGGTCCGGGCAGAGCTAGGCTGCTGGGGATCAAGTTCAACACTCATGACCTCCAGCTGTCCCTCCTCATTCCTCCAGCCAGTCAGGCCTGGCACAGGATAACCCTTCCCTTCTTCCCTCTCCCTCTACAGCCTGCAGGGAGCCTGTAGGCTCAGAGAGAAGGCTGCAAGAGAAGATCAGGGGCACACAGCTTGATCCGGGGCCAGCCGAGAAGAGGGTTTGCAGTACACGCCAGCCTGGAACCCTCTCCAACAGCCCTTGTACTGCCCAGGCTGCCAGCTGCCCCAGCCTGGGCTGCCATGCCCCCTCCCGCCCCCCGTTCACGGCTGCCTGGGGCTCACCTCTACCTCAGGGGCAGGGCCACCACTCTGCTTCCAGACATTTCTTTTATGTCTGTATTTCCATGTGTTCTACCTCCTTAGAATCTTGGCTGGGATTTTCCAGGTTCTCCCTTTCTCTGCTGCAGCCATCCCCTGACCAAATTCCTTCCCATGGAGTCCTCACTGAGGACTTAGGCAACCACCCAATTGTTGCCGTGGTCCTGGGCCTCCTCTCTGTGTGTGCCAAGCCTATCTGATGTCCCAGGTTTGTCCTTCCTTGGCCTCCCTTTATTTTTTTAATGCATTTATTTTACTCGAGTTACCGAGAGAAAGACACGACAGAGAGATGTCTTCCATCTGCTGGCTCACTCCCCCAAAGGGCCACAATGGCCTGAGCTCACTTGATCTAAAAGCAGGGAGCCAGGAACTTCTTCAGGTGTCCCACATGGGTTCATGGTCCCAAGGACTTGAGCCACCCTCTGCTGCTTTCCCAGGCTGTAAGCAAGGAGCTAGGATTCAAACTGGTACCCATACAGGATGCCAGAACTACAGGTGCGGAATTAGCCTACCACCCCATCACATTGGCTTCATCCTTGATCTCCTTTCTGAGGGCCTGTGCCTCCCCGCACTATAATGCTACACCACAAGGCACCCTCCTCCTACCATGTGGCCAGTACTGTCTCCGCCTCTGGTGTCTGTATGTGGCCATCCACATCTTCCATTCTATCACCTTAACGCTGGTCCTCACAGCACTCCCCTGAACACTTTGCTCCCAGCCTGTGGCCTCATGCTGCTTGCTCTGCCCAGGGCACTCCAGTGCCGAGTCAGCCCACTGTCTGGGGTGAGCCATGTGCCGTGGGAGGGTTGAGAGGCTGCTCGCTACAGGGCTTCCCTGCTCAGCACAGCTTTGCAAAACTGACAAGCTCTGGTCCCTTCCTCACTCCAGTCCTTTGATGCCCTCTCTCATTTCTCTCCTTCCCTATCCGCAGCAGATGGTTCTGCCTCCTCCTTCCCAGAAATGATGAAACAGCTGTGTCCTGAGTTGTGACTTCCCACCAAGGATGATGCAGGCAGGGTCACAGCAGCCATACCTGAGCCTCCAAAGACAGGCCCTTTAGATTGGGAGCCAAAACAGAATTTCCTCGACCCAAAGGGCTCTGCAAGACCACCTTCTCAGGCTCTGTCAGAGAAAATGATGGGGGGTGCAGTGCAGCACGCTGGCAGCTCCTGGAGTACAAGGCAGGCAGGTGCTGAATGGTCCCAGGACCACTGCTCTGGGAATACCTGCTGCTGAGAGACTCCCTCCACCAGCCCTAGGGATGAACTCTCCCTCTTGGTCCTGTTCTTTTATTGGAAAGACAGAATTACAGAGAAAGAAGAAAAAAGGTCTTGCATTAGCTAAATTCACTCCCCAGATGGCTGCAACAACTGAGACTGGGCCAGGCTGAAACCAAGAGCCAAGAGCTTCTTCCGGGTCTCCAACCTGGGTGCAGGGGCCCAAGCACTTGGACCATCTTCCACTGCTTTTGTGGGCACATTAGCAGGGAGCTGGACTGGAAGTAAAGCAGCCAGGACTTGAACCGGCACCTATATAGGATGCTGGTGCCACAGATAGAAGTTCCACCCTGTTCTCAGAACAAGCTGGGGGAGGGGTGGGAAGTACACATGGTTTCCACCGTGCCATGGGTGGGGGAGGGGAGTTTGGAGCACTAAGTCCCAGGGTCAGGGGTAGCTAGGACTGTGTCTAGTTCAAGAGAGGTGACATGAAAGACTTCAGTGCTACACCTGGCAGGATGTGGTACCACTCCAGGGAGAGACCCTGACTCCCTGGAAGTTTCTCCATGCCAGCTTGCCAGGAGCTGTCCTGCTCAACACCAGCTGCGAGAGGGAGGTGTTTCCCAAACATCTCAGGGCCAAGGGCTTATTTAAAAAACAAAACAAAACACACACACACACACGAAGAGGTGTCTGCTTGTAGGAAGTGAGTGGCTTGGGGCCAGGCATTTTAGAACAGGGGTTCCCACACCTCTTGGGAAGTGGGCCTATCTCTAGCCCCAGTACATGGGCTTGAGTCATGACTGATTCCAGCTCCCTGCTGCCCCCTACTACGGGGAGGCTGGAGCAGCTGGGTCCCTGCCATCCACAGGAGACTGAATTTGGGGATCCTGGCTGCAACCTAGCCCAGTGTCAGCCGGACAGGGTATTTGGAAAATGACTCAGAGAATGGGATGGAAGATATATATAAATCCTCCATTTATTTTATTTGAAAAGTAGAGGTACAGAGAGAAGGATAGACAAGAGATTTTACATCAGCTTGTCCACAGGGCGAGAAGTGGAGCCACTGGGACCTGAACCCTGTACCTATATGGGATGATGGTGCTGCAGGCTGACTTACCCTATCTACGCCACAGTGCCGGGGCCCATGTTTTTTCCCTTAAAGTGAGTAGTGTTTGGACAGAGAATGGGGAACCCCCTCTAGGGCAGGGAGAACTACAGGGGCTAGAGAGCAGGCCTGGAGACCCTGCGCCACCCTTGGGAGGGCACAGCAGGGACATGATGGGTTCCATACCTTGATAAGGAGGCGTGGATGCAGAGGTGCACTCAAGCGTGAGCTGCAGGTGAGGAGGACAGCCAGCTCTCTTCAGCCTGCTCACAGCCGGCCCACTGTCCCCAGCCCCTGTCATGTGTGACACACGCCCCTAGTAAGGGAAGGGCAGCACTTCTGCCCCAAGACGGTGGCCAAGGGTCTGCGGGGTTGCTGTGCACGAGCACGCGCGAGCAGGATGCCTCTGTCCTGTATGTGCAGGATGTGCTGGTGCAGGGTACAGTGGGGGAAGGTTGGCTTTCTTCCCTGCACCTGCTGGGCTGGCGGGAAACACCAGAGGAACGGCAGGAAGCGAGGGCCCAGGGAGAAACAAAGCTACAAAGAATACGGGAAGACTATACCGGAGAGCTCTGTGGCTGCAGCTGCCAGGGCCGCTACTGGTGTTCCTGAACATCAGGGAAGGGCCACAGACAGACCTTGACCCTGTCTTTTGGAATTAGTCCCGGGCATAGAGCCAGCTTGCAATGTTTCCCCGATGTTTTTAGGGATTGCTCTGCCTCGGGTTCTCCTTTGCATGTCCAGTGGAACCTGGAGAGTAAAACAGCAGCATAGGCGCTTTTGCATGATGTGGCCTGCCTTCTGGAATTCCTCAGCTGTCCCCTCCTATGACGCTTGGGGCAGGCCTGCCCAGGATGGCTAAGGGTCAGGGAGCAAGTGGGCAGTGGAGGCCTGTGCATGGCATGCTGAAGTCTGGAAGAGGTTTGAGAAGAGGTCACAGACTGTGAAAGTAGATTCTGTCATCCCTTGAGAGAGGCCTGCATAAGGACAGCTCTGAAATTATGTTTATTGTTTGTTTATTTATAATTTTGAAAAAATATGGAAAGCTGCACACATTTGCATATCACCCTTGAACAGAGGCCAAGCTAATCTCTGTAGCATTCCAATTTTAGTATATGTGCTGCCGAAGCAAGCACCTGAATTTATTTTTAAAAATGTTTTCATTTCTTTAAAAAGCAGAATTAAAGAGGAGGGGATAGAGAGAGAGAGAAAGATCTTCCAGCCTCTGGTTCACCCCCCAAATGGCTACAAAGGCCAGAGCTGAGCTGATCTAAAGCCAAGAGCCAGGAGTAAGGAGTTCTTTCTGGTCTCCCAAGCGGGTACAGGGTCTAAACACTTGGGTCATCCAGGCCACAAGCAGGGAGCTGGATGGGAAGTGGAGCAGCCAGGACTCCAGCACTCATACAGATGCTGGCATCACGGGTAACAGCTCTACCCGCCGAGCCACAGTAACAGCCCAGCTCTGAATGTAGAACTGTCCATCTCTGGCCTCCCAGCCCTCAGCCTATCTCCTTTCTACCCTTGTGTCCATTCTGCTGGGTTGGGGCTTGTGTCACACAGGTGATAGTTCACAAACCCCAGTTCCATCTGCACCCCTGTGGAAGGGTCTGTTGCTCTTTATTTTTTTTTTAAAGAGGCATTTATTTTACTTGAAAGAATCACAGAGAAAGAGAGAAATCTTCCATCTTCTATCCACCTGTATGTGATGCCAGCACCACAGGTGGAGGATTAGCCTGGTATGCCACTATGCTAGCCCTGGTTTTCTCTTGGAAGGACACTGAGGTGGGTAGGGTTGCTGCTCATGTCCTGGATGAGAACTTGGGGTTCTGTGGGTAGAAAAGGCAAGCCTAGGATGGTGCAGCTGGTGAATGGCCAGCTGATGCATTTTCAGTCTGATGGGCTAGTGCCTTCATAAACATGATGCAAACAAGTCCTGGCAAAGCACCCGCAGCTTGGCTGCAGCAGGAAAGTCCAATCAGGTTCAAAGTTTCCAAGTCTTCCTTGAAGTCTCTGCCTGGCTCTGTGGACTGTGGACTCATGACAAAAGTCTGGCCACACACTGGTCCTGTCCAGGAGGAGGTCATGTGGACTCCAGGGAGGACCCCACTGGCTTACCATTTTTTCTGGAGGGGGCACAGCCAGGGAGCCCCTCTTTGATGGTGGTGAGGAAGGTGTGGGCTCCAATGGAACAGCCTGACCAGTGGCCTGGCTTGCTTGAACCTGGGAGTGGTATGAGGGAGATATGGGCGTTATGGGCCTATAGACAGTGTGGAAGCTCTTGCATCTTTTACCACCAAGGCCAGCGGGGCCTACCACAGATTAGGACACTAGGTGTCCACTGGGCCCAGGGGCAGGGATAGGCAAGGGACTCCAAGGCAGAACACAGGTTCACAAATAAGAAAACCTTGGGGCCAGTGCCATGGCGTGGTAGGTTACATCTCTGCCTGCAGCACCAATATGCCATATGGATGATGGTTCAAGTTCTGGCATGGGAGACTCCATTTCTAGTCTGGTTCCCTGCTAATACACCTGGGAGAACAGCAGGAGAGAGCCCAAGTGCTTGGGACCCTGCACCCACATGGGAGGCATGGAAGAAGCTCCTGGCTCCTGTCCGGCCATTGCAGTCATCTGGGGAGTGAACCAATACATGAAAGATCTCTATTTCTGTCTGTGCTGCAGTGCTGCTCCCTAATCCCCCACCTCTGTGTAATACTGCCTTTACAATAAAATTAAGTATTTTTAAAACATTTATCTGTTTTTGTTGGAAAGGGAGATTTACAGAGAGGACAAACAGAATAATCTTCTATCTGCTGGTACAGTTCCTGAATAATTCAAAAGCAGAAGTCAAGAGCTTCTTCCCCATCTCCCATGTGGATGCAGGGTCCCAGGCTCTTTGGCCATCTTCAACTGCTTTCTCAGGTCATAATCAGGGAGCTGGACGAGAGGTGGGGCAGCCAGGACATGAACTTGTGCCCATATGGAATCCCGGTATATACAAGGTGAGGATTAGCTGTTGAGCCATTGCGCCAGGCCCTATTTATTTATTTTAAAAGATTTATTTATTTTTATTGGAAAGTCAGATTTACTGAGAGGAGGAGAGACAGAGAGGAAGATCATCCAATGATTCACTCCTCAAGTGACTACAACAGTCAGAGATGAACCAATCTGAAACCAGGAACCAGGAGCTTCTTCCAGGTCTCCCAAATGGGTGCAGGGTCCCAAGGCTTTGGACTGTCCGAAACTGCTTTCCTAGGCCACAAGCAGGGAGCTGGGTGGGAAGCGGGGCCGCTAAGATAGAACTGGTGCCCATATGGAATCCCAGGCATGCAAGGAAAGGACTTTAGCCACTAGGCTACCATGCCAGGTCCTATTTATTTATTTTTTAAAAATGAGTTATCCTTGATAGCCAAACCTGCTGGGAAGAAAAGGCATCATAAGATGAAGAAGATGGATTTATAAACAAAAGAATCTCTTTTGGATCCAGTAGCCTCCTTGAAGAGCTGTCACCTGAGCAAACTCTAGTCTCTTAAGAAGCTTCTATTTTGAGCAGCTCATAGACATGAACACTCATAGCTGTGAACACTTCTGTAAATCTAAAAGTAGCAAAACTTCTAGAACAAGAATTCCTAGAACAAAAACAAATGATGGTGTCGATGTGCTGGCTGCTTTGGAAATTTTTAGACATGAGTTGGAGGTAAAACTCAGGGGGAAAGGCTTAGTGTTGAATTAAATGAATGCATGATGACCCGAGGACAAGATAAAAAGTGAAGAAAAAACATGCAGATGGATGCCAGTCTAGTCCATGGCAGGAAAACTTCTGAGAGACTCTCAGCATTATAGCTTCTAAACTACATTTGTTGTCTTCCCCATCCCCCTCTGAAAGGCAGAAATTATAAAAGAAAATAAGAATCTCAGGGTAGGCAAGTGAGGTGTGTCTGATAAGACAGTGTGGAATATGCAGTGCTTTTGCTTAGTGTCAGGGAGTAGCTCAGGTTAAATGAGGCCATAGGGCAAGGTCCTGATTTGATAGAAATCATGTCATTATAAGACACCAGCTACCGGGCCCGGCGCAGTGGCGCAAGTGGTTAACGTCCTCGCCTTGCACGCCCGGGATCCCATATAGGTGCCGATTCTATCCCAGCAGCCCCGCTTTCCTTCCAGCTCCCTGCCTGCATCCCGGGAAAGCAGTTGAGGACAGCCCAAAGCTTTGGGACCCTGCACCCACGTGGGAGACCCGGAAGAGGCTCCTGGCTTCGGACCGGCATAGCATCGACCGTTGCGCTCACTTGGGGAGTGAATCATCGGACGGAAGATCTTCCTCTCTGTCTCTCCTCTCTGTATATCCGCCTTTCCAATAAAAAAAATAATAAAAATAAATCTTTTAAAAAAATAATAATAAAAAATAAATCTTTAAAAAAAAAAAGACACCAGCTACCCTCTTCCCCTTCACCTGTGCTCACGAGAAAGGTGGAGCAGAGACAATCCTGCTTGGGACAACCAGGAGTGCCTGCAGCACAGGCCCAGCCCTGTGGCACCTCGGTCTGGCGCTGCCAACCCCCAGAGCTGAGAAGTCACACTCCTTCTTTTGGCCAGCCAAGCCTGTGCTGTTCTGTGATGGCATCAAGGCTGGTTCTTACAGGCAGATTTTGTTGTTGTTGTTCAGCTCTCTCGGAGTGGGTATCATGGTGCAGCTTGTTCAGCCACTATCCCTTCCTGGAATGCTGGAGGTTTGAGTCCCAGGTCCTCCGCCTACAATGCAGCTTCCTGCTCATGTTCCTGGGAAAGCAGGGGATGATGGCCCAAGCACTTGTTCTCTTTCCACCCAATGGCAGGGGAGGATGGAGCTCCTGGCTCTTGGCTTTGGCATGGCTGGCACCTGGCTGTTGCAGCCTTGAAGGAAGTGACCTGTGCTCATTTTCTTTTTTTCACTGCCTTTCAAATAAATTAATTCAAAAGGAAAACAGCTCTTCATTGTCATCTAGTTAATTACAGTGTGGAAGATATTGTCAGCGTAGTATTTGTTTATCCAAAACTTGGGGTTTATTCTCTCAGAGAAATTCTAGTTTGAGCTTTCTAACTTTTCTTTTACTGGTTTGCTCGTCAACTAAATGACTTGACTTGCGCTGAAAACTTAGGAGAGTGTAGATGGCTGTATTCCTCTAAATGACAATGGCTACAACACTGTCTTTCTGAGAAGTTGCTGCAAGCGAGGGTGGGCATGTAACCCAGTGGTCAGGACACATGTGGCCTACATCTAGGTGCCTGGTTTTGAATCCCCCAGCTCTGCTCCTGATGTCAGCTTCATGATGTTCACCCCGGGAGGGACCAGGCGATGGCTTCATGAGTTGGAGACCTGAACTCAGCGCCTGGCCCTGCCTTCAGCCCCAGCCTAGTCCCAACTAACAGTGGCTGAGAGATCTCTCTCCTCTCAAATAAGTCAGGAAATATTTTGAAAAGTACCCTTGAGACTGGCTGACGTTATGATGCAGCTGGATCCACCTCCACCCACGATGCCAGCTTTCCTTGTGGGAGCCACTTGGCTGGCTGCTCTGCCTCTGATCCAGCACCCTGCTAACGTGCCTGGGAAAGCAACGGAAAATGGCCCAAGTGTCTGGGTCCCTGCACCCACATGGGAGACCCAGAAGATGCTCCTGGATTGGGTCGGGGCCCCACCCAGGACTTTTTGATCATCTGGGGAGCGAACCAGTAGATGGAAGATTTCTCTATTCCTCTCTCGATGTAAGTGTGCCCTTCAAATAAACAATCAGCTCTTAAAAAAAAAATCTGATTGTACCTAGGTTACCTTGTACCTAGGCATGTGTTAGACTACTGGGAGAAAAGCAGCCAGTAGCTGGCAGGTGTTCTGGGCCTGGATAATGTCAAATTGTGTAAATACCAACGTGCCAGCATAGTTGCCAATTCTAAATGATTGTGAGGAAGGTGAGGAACTCTGGCCTGGGACATCCCACCCAGACCTCCAGGCAGAGGTGGAGGGGCTGCAGATTGCCTGGGGAAGCAGGTCTGGGGATAAAATAAAAGATTAGAGAAAAAAAGTACTGTTGTAACCATTTAAAAATACACAATTCAGTGGCACTCAGTGTAGTCATATTGTTGCCAAGCAACAAATCAGCCCCAC